CAGAAAGTACAGTAGCACAGTGCCAAAGAACCAGGGACTGGGCCAAACGAGCAACAACTTCTCCAACACACTGAAGAAGTAAGTTTTTCCAACAGACACAAAACCCAAAAACCAGCTGCACCTGGAAGATACCTCGGAGAAGTAATCATCACCTAAATGTCCTAAATGCCGCTGATAAAACAACCCACTACAGGTAACTTACAAGCATCACCCCAGGAATTAATTTAAAAAGAAATGAGAAGATACTGGCAAACAGACTGCAGCAAATCATCAAAAAGATTGTACAGAATGATCAAGTGGGATTTATCCCAAGGACGCAGGGATTGTTCAACATACATAAATCCACAAATGTAATTCACCATATTAACAGAGTCAGGGACAAAAATCATATGATCATCGCAATAGACATGAAAAAAGCTTTTAACAAATTCCAGCACTCATTCATGATAAATACCATACAGAAAACTGGAAAACAGGGTCTTTATCTCAATCTGTAAAGGCCCATCTATGACAAACTAACAGCCAATGTCATACTAAATGGACAAAAACTGAAAGCTTTCTCTCTAAAATCAGGAACAAGATAAAGATATCCACTGTCTCCACTCTTATTCAACATAGTCCTGGAAACTTTAGCTGGAGCAATTAGACAAGAGATAGAAATAAAAGGAATAAAGATAGGAAAGGAAAATGTTGAACTGTCACTATCTGCAGATGACATGATACTCTGCTTAGAAAATCCAAAACCTCCACCAAAAGATTTCTAGATTTAATAAGCAAATTCAGCAACATAGCTGGTTACAAAGTCAACACTCAAAAATCAGTAGCCTTCCTGTACACAAATAACAAACTCACAGAGAGAGATATCAGTGAAACAATATCTTTTACAACAGCATCCAAAAAAATGAAATACCTAGGAATCAGTCTAACAAAGGATGTAAAAGACCTCTACACTGAAAACTACAGCACTCTGAAAAAAGAGATTGAAGAGGATATTAGAAAATAGCTATCCCATGCTCTTGGGTAGGAAAAACCAATATAGTGAAAATTACCATACTTTCAAAACTGTTAATACAGATTCAGTGCCATCCCAACCAAAATTCCAACAGCATACCTCACAAAATTAGAAAAAAACCATCTTAAAATTCATGTGGGACAAGAAGAGCACTAGAATAACAAAGGCAATCCTGGACAACAAAGACAAGACGGGGGCATCACAACCCCTGACTTGAAATTATACTATAAAGCTACTGTGATTAAAAAGTGTAGTCCTGGCAAAAAAAAAAAAAAAAAAAAAACAGAACCAAAGATCAATGGGATAGATTAGAAGATGCAGAAACAGGGCTGGTGATTTAGCTCAGCAGCATAAGCACCTGCCTTGCAAGCAGTCGGTCGTGAGTTCAATCCCCAGTACCGATAAGAAAAAAAAAAAGAAGATGCAGAAACAACTGCAGACACACTAAGCCACTTTATGTTTGACAAAGGTGCCAAACACATTCACTAGAAGAAAGAAAGCCTCTTTAATAAATAGTGCTGGAACAACTGGCTCCACACGTGCCAAACATTAAAACTGGATCCGTATTTTTCACCATGTGATAAGCTAAAATCAGAATGGATCAAAGATCTTAGTATTAAAACAGAAACATTAACACTGCTGGAGATAGACATGGATGTAAGCAAAGACTTGATGAACAAAACCCCGATTGCAGAGCAACTGTGATAAAGAATCCACAAATGGAATCTCCCCCTACTGAAAGCTCTTGCACAGTAAGAGAAACCAACAAGAGTGAAGAGACAACCCACAACGGGGGAGAAAATGTTTGCCAGCTGTCCCTCAGACAAAGAACTACTTTCGAGAACATATAAAGAACACAAAAAAAAATCAGTCCTCCCAAATTTAAAGACCCGATCCAAAAATGGGCATCTGAGATGAACACACACTTCTCAGATGAAGAAATAGAAACAGTAAATACGAATGTGAAAAAAATGTTCAACATCACTGATCATTCAAGAGATGCAAATTAAAACAACACTGAGATTCCACCTCACCCCAGAAACAATGGCTACTATCAAAAAACCAACCAATAACAAATGCTGAAGGGGCTGTGGGGGAAAAAGAAACCCTTCTTCACTGTTGGTAGGAGTGTAGACTGTTGTAACCATTGTGGAAATCAGTGTGAAGATTTCTCAGAAAACTAGGATTGGAGGTCCCATTCAGCTCAGTTATTCCCCTTTTAATTCTTCCCAAAAAGAATTAAAAACATCACACCACAATGATATATGTGCATCCATGTTTATAGTAGCAGTTTGTAATAGCCAGATCTTAGAAACAACCTAAATGCCTATCGACTGAGGGATGGATAAGAAAGATGTGGTATTTTTATACCATGGAGTACTATTCAGCTATAAAGGATAAACTAGACACTTTCATAGGTAAATGGATGCACTTTGAGAACATACTCATTAGTGAAATCATATTTCATTAGTGTGACAAGCTGGAAGAAAAAACAGGTACATATGTATGTATATGTATCAAAAAATAGTTAATATAATTATACTACAGATTTCTCTGAGTTTGCTGAAAAGAAAGATTTGTACTGATTTTGTTCAGACAACTGAAGGCAGGTGTCTTGTACTCTGGGTAAATGATTTGGGGATGACTGATGTACTTTAAATTTTTGTTAGAGTTTTTTCTTCTTTTCTTTCTAAGAAAAAATGGATATATAAAAATAAAAAATAAAAGAGGAAAGGGGTAATTCCTTCTTCATGATGTCAGAGGATTCAGTCCATGATCAGCTGCCTCCAAGGCACAAGCATCATGGCAACGGGGCTGGTGGAATAAAGTTACACAGATCTTGGCATCTAGGGAGCAGAGCAGGAGAGCAGTGCCAGAGATGAAAGATCAGAGGCCAAATATAAACCCCAAAGTCCGGCCTGCACAATCCACCCAGACAGTCAGAAGTGTGCTTCACAAATCCCTGGGTAGCTCCCGAGCCAGTCAAATTAACACAATTAAGCTTCACCATCACGGAAACCCACCTCAACTCTGGGGTCATAAACTTGAAGCAAGACTTTATCAAAGTCCATGTGTTTTCCTCAGCCAGCATCTTCCACATGGGCACAGGCAAGGAAGAGGCAAAGAGCTGGGTTCACTCTAGGCTTTGTAATTTTAGAATCAGACCAAGTGAGAAAGAGGCAAGTGAGTTCACAGTCTATCCAAGAGACTCACCCGATGATTACAGCCTCTAAATTGGACAAGGAGGAAATGAGGACCTGACAGGGTGAAGGGCAGTACAGCAGTGACAGAATCAGAGGATCAGAGAAGAGCTCTGTTGTTTTCTATTTTTAAATTTTGCCTTTTCATTAGAATAGGCTTCTGACACCTAATATGTATCAGCTTTGTGGGGAGTTGGCTTATATACATATTGCAGGTGTTTCCCATTGAAGATTGAGGCATGGGGGTCCAAGGGAAGTCACTTCATGTTCCCCAGTGGTCACAGGGGGAGTGGACCTGCCCCACACATGCATGATGGGCTGAAAATAAGGTCCTGCATACCTGTCCATCTGCCAATTCCCGGAAGTCTTGAACTTGTATCACACAGCATCTTGGAAAATGTCATTAGCGATCTTGAGATAGATTATGGCCTATTATCCAGCTGGGCCCAATCATTACAACAGTCGTCACCCCAGAGACGAAGACGTCATCTTCTCAGGAAACGGTATGGTGGGGAAGCCAAGATCGGAGTCATGTACTCCAAAGGCAGAGAAAGGGGCCACGACCCGAAGAATGAGGCAATGGAGAGAAATATTCTCATCTGCAGCCTCCAGATCTACACACCCCTGCAAACACCCTTGACTGTAGTCCAGCAAACTGAATACATTTGAGTTTAGTGTGCATCTCTGTAGCAGTCTATTACAGGAGCAATTGGAAACTTATAAACCAAAGAAGGAGGGTGCAGAAAAAAAGGTGTGGATCTCGGCCCTGTCTCCCGCAGTATAATTGAGAAGTGAGGAGAGACAAATGGGCAGCCCGCACCACACTGCGAGAGGTGACAGGAAGAGAGGCACAGCCGGACACCATGAAAAGCATCAGCCAGAAGAGTCTTCAGGGCAAACCTCCTAGCTCCCCAGTGAATCTCTGACACACCGCAATACTACATTAGAAAAATCAAACTGCAGGCCCATGCATCTGCATATCATTTCTGTTTTAAAAATCTACCCATAGGTATCAACAGTTAAGTGATTGCCTCTGCCTCTTCCCTCTTAGCTCTAATTTCCCTCAAATAATTGCAAAAAAGCCAGGTGTGGTGAGGCTCCCCTGTAATGTCAGCACCTGGGAGGCTGAGGCAGGAGGATCGTTGAGTGTTAGAGACCAGCCTGGGCTACAAGTGAGTTCAAGGCCAGCCTGAATAGGACGGTGTCTCAAAAAGACCAAAAAAATCTGGTCTTACAAATACAAACAATTGCAAAGAGCTGGATTTGGTGGCGCCTGCCTGTAATTCCAGCACTCGAAGTCTGAGGCAAGGAGGACACTGGAGGGATTTTTTTTTCCTCGACGGTGCTGGGGATTGAGCCCCTGGCGTTCAAACTGTGCTACATACCCAATCCTCTATTTTTTGAAACAGGGTCCGCTAAGGCGCTAAACTGGGCTCAAACTTGCTTCGTCCTGCCTCGGCCTCTTCGTGCCCCCACGAAGTTAAGGCTTTGAACACCTCGGGTTAAGAATGAACTTTGAAGGGGACAGGAAGAGGTCGGGTGGTAAGTATTACTTTTCGCGTGTGAATTACCTTCTCCTAGGCGGTATTTTAACACGGATAAACAGCTCGCGTAACCCTCACACAACGCTCAACTGTACGCTAAAAGCCCCAGTCGGAGCTGGAAGTGGTCTCCTGAGGGAGACATCGGAAGTGGCCGGTCCCGCGCGCGGCTTTCTGGGACTTGTAGTTCAGAGCCCTCGGCGAGGGCAGAGTGGGGGTCCGGAGTGCTCAAACCAGGTATGGGCGCCAGGTGGGAGGGAGGCGGCCGGGCTGCGCTCGCTAAGGGCGAGCGTCCAGTGCCGGGTCGGCCAGGGGATGGAGGATGGCCAGACGCGCATGTATACTCGCCGCGTCCCCAGCCGCTGCGAGGGGCCGGGTCACGGGCGAGACCCACGCGAGTAAGGCCGCAGCACTCACTCCCGGCCTTGTCCTGAGCAGGTGTTCAGCAGATGTCAGGGCCCCAGCGAGACCCGGGAGAGGCACACGGGGTCCCGGAGCCCTTGTGCCCCTGAAAGAGATGAGCTTGGGAAGAAGGTCGAGAGGCGTCCTGGGCAGAGTTTCCCCAAGCTCCGGGGCAGAACCTGGGGGTGCGAGGAATTGGCGCGTGTCTGGGATGCTGGCTACCACCCCCCACCCCCAGTTCGTTCTCGGGGTTTGGGAGGGAGACCTGGCTTGTTTGACCCGAAGCCCTGGCCAGAGAGCTGAGGGAGCAAAAGAAGTCAGGGCAAGAGCTGAGTGACGCCCACAGTCTTGCTGGTTTTGCTCATTGCGCCCCTGAAAGGTGGGCTTGGTGTTCATGGCTTTTTTTAGCCCCCTTAACTCTGCCTTTCCAGGAATCTACCCTTCCCGGAGCAGAGGACATGATCAAGTTTCAGGTGAGCCAGGGTTTCTGCTAAAATGCCTTCTGTCTGACACTCGAAAGATTCCTTCTCCAGAGGAAGCCATGCATCACTTCTGTATACCTGTTTAGTGTCTGACCATGTTCCTGAACTGTGCATTTTCTTCTGTGTTATCAGGCGTCAGTGTGAGAAAGAATGTCATACACGTGGGCATCGAGGTATTGAGGCATTACATACTGAGGGCAGAGACCTGCCAGGTGATGTCTCCGGGTTTTGTACAGGTATCCACCCCTCCTCCATGACTTTGAGCCGCTTCTCAGAATGCCCAACTCTGTCTGTTGTCAAAGGATTCCACGAAGTACCTTTACCTAGGCCCCTCACAGCTGGCATTTCCTGGCAGACATTTCACTCACGCTGGCTTAATTTTCCCTCTCAGTGACAAAGCACCAGAGGTGATCACCTTCAAAGGAGGAAGGATTGATTTAGGCGCACACTTCGGAGGTCCTCACTTTGGGGTTGTGGTAGCAGGAGCATTTTGGGGAGGAGGTCTGTCCACATCATGGTGGCCACAAAGCCAGGAAGAGGTTAGGATCCCAGTGACCCCTTCAAAGTCACACACCCGCAGTGACCTAACTTCCATCCATCCCCTCCAGCCACCTCCAGAAGGTGCCATGGGCTAGTAATCATGCCTTTCACCTCTGGGTGGACTTTTGGAGATGCTCCAGACCCAAACTGTAGCATGTCAGATGTCATCCTGAGTGTCTCAGGAAAACAAGTAGAATTATCAGCTGGTTGCTTGTCAGGAATTCATCCTCTTGATGAGCAGGTTTTTTTTTTATATGTATACAAAATACAGGCATGTTAATTAATGGTGATTATTTATATACCATGAATAGTGAAAAACAAGAAAGTTAAATGGCAGCACAGTCATTACAAAGTCAGTCCTAGAAATCTGTTTTCAACCAATCTGTGCATCAGAATCATCTATGGTGTTTTTTAAGAATTTTGAGGGGGACTGGGGATTTAGCTCGGTGGCATAAGCGCCTGCCTTGTAAGCAGGCAGTCGTGAGTTCGATCCCCATACCAATAAAAAAGAAAAAGACAAAAAAAAAAAAGAATTTTGAGGACCGGGCATGCTGGCGCCTGTAATCCTGTGGGACAGCATGAGTCTGGGTTGTGCTCTGTCCCCTGAAAAACCATGGAAAGGTCTCAGGCCTGGCCTGACAGGTGCCCTTCAAAGTCATCCAACTGACAGTTGCATGGGACACTGCAATGAAGGGAGTGGTAGAGATGGGGTTAGGAGGCAGCACAGAGGGAGCAGGCAGCTGGGGAGGCTCGGGCGAATGCAGATCTGTTCCAGGAGGATGACAAGGACAGACAGGGAAATGGGACAGAGTCAAGCTGTAGACACACCCTGCTTGTGGCTGCTGCACTGTCAGGAAAGGCAGGGCTCCTCGGCTCCTGGAGACTGGAAAGTGGCACTGTGGTGACGTCATCAGGACAAGCGTAGGAAGGGGACCACAAGGAAGGTGGCCAGGTGAGAGCCTGCACCCACAGGTTGCAGGTTTGAATGGAAGTGGCCATTTTGTGATCCCAGCCTACAGGGGGACCTGGTGACCCCTCCCAGCCTTCTCTGCCCTCAGCTGAAGATGGATGTGCTTCATGTTCTAGGAACCAACAACACTCACAGGGTCTGTGGACCCCGTGAAGGAAGAGCAGGGGTGCCCAGGCCCAGCCCAGAGGAAGCAGGAGGGTGCTGTGACGCTGCAGGGCTGCAGGAACTTGGCGGTAAGAACAGAGTGGAACCCTAGTTGGCCGCTTCCTTCTTGTCACTGGCACACTAAGAACTGGAGAGCAGGTAGTCACCCAGCCGAGACCTGGTTCATCCCTCCCCAGGCTGAGATGGGGGCCCATTGTGCTTTCTGCGGTCAGCCAGGCCCCACATAGTCCTGAGATGAGCTCTCTGTGCAGAGACCATGATGTGACATACAGTATGCTGCAGGACAGGCAGGCGGGCCACTGGTGGAGGAAGCCCTGCTGACTGCAAGCTGCTGGGCCCCCACCAGTCCCTGAGGACTGCCTCTCAGGAGACTGTGGTCCTCTCCACTCATGTTGATCTTTCTGTGGGGGCGCCTTCCCACCATTTTCCTGGGCCTCGTGCTGTCTGTGCTATCTCAGTTTTCCTAGTACCTCCCATCCTAGAGATGGCTCCTGCCCCTTGTGTCTTTTCTTATGCATTCAGGGATCCCTCTCTCCTGCCTTCCGAACATGTCATGATCAGAACATGGGGTACGATGCTCTCACCTAGGGATTGGTAGTGTCATCAGTGATGCATTTTTTCTGGAAAACACTTCTCACTGAAACAAGCATTATCAGATGTCATCTTGAAGTATCTGTCCTGAGGAATTAGTCATTCCACCTGACTATCATGGCCAAACACTCTTAATTAGAATTCCTATAAGTGAGCCGGGCGTGGTGGCTCATGCCTGTAATCCCAGCACTCAGGAGGCTGAGGCAGGAGAATCGTTGCGAGTTCGAGACCAGCCTGGGCTACAAAGTGAGCTCAAGGTCAGCCTAAACTGCATAGCGAGACCCTGTAAAAAAAAAAAAAGAATTCCTATAAGTGCAGTGTTTTTCTTAAAACACTTTCAGTGTGCAATTGCTTAACTCTTAAGAATACGGAACTGAGATATAGAACTATTTTCAGTGCTGCGTGTAAGTAGTCAATATTTAATAACTGAAGCAGACTTGAACAGATGAGAAATATTTCTTAGGGTCTTGTTGGAGGAACATTACACAAGCACAGCATATTCCTGTGAATCTGGCAGGTCCTCCTCTAGGAAAATGAAGGTGCAGGGTGGGGTAAGGATGATGAATGTGTCTTGGAGAGGCCTGGAGAGGCCTAGGGAAGCCTCTGACATAACCCTTTGGCTTTCAGTCTAAAGGTCAACAGTTTAAACAGATAACTATTCAGACAGAGAATCATGCAAAGAAAAGCCTAGAGACTCGAAATGGGGAGTGTGGCTAGAACACCTCCTTGAAGATAGAGTGGGTAAGTGTGCGCAGGGCCGGGCTGCTCATGGCATCAAGGACAGTGATGAGACCCAGTGCTGCTGTAGGTTTACAAGGGACCCGGAGGAGGGTGTGGGCTTCCAGCTCCAAGATTTGCCCTATGTCTTCATCTTCACTGATACAAAATTGGACATAGTTGGCCAGGCATGGTGGTGCATGTCTATAATCCCAGCACTTGGGAGGCTGAGGCAGAAAGACTGCTGCAAGTTTGAGGTCAGCCTAGGCTACACAGCAAGACCTTGTCTCAAAAAATATATATAATGTCTATAGAAGACAGAAGTGTCAAATCAGACAACACAAGCATAATATGAAATGAAATCCTCAGGAGTTTGTGTGTCCCACTTTTTTCTGTGGGCTCCATACTTATGTATTATTACACAACAGCCAGCTTTTCTATCTCTTGAGACCCAAAGCCCCAACATTAAAGAAGAGGGTAATTTGGCTGGTGGTTTGAGGGAACTCAGTCCCTGGTTGCCTGGCTCAAGACAGGAACATCATGGTGGAAGAGTGTAGCACAGCAAAGGTACTTAGTCCATGGTGGTCAGGAAGCAGAGCAGGGCAAAGAGGAGGGAAAGCCAGACATACACCCCACGGCCACACCTCCACGCAGACGCAGCTGGGAGTGTGCTTTGCTAATTCCCTGGGAGCTTAATCAGTGATGACATATCTCAAAAAGTGTATGAAAATTACAGGAGATGATACCATATTTTTTAGTTTTCTGTTTTCCACGTATGAGTTAGCTTATTTATGGCATAACAAAAAAGACCTTTTCTAAGTGTCTGTGTTTTTCTAATGCTGCATGGTCACTCTTCATACTGTAAGTACTTAAAGACTAGTATCACAAAGTTTTATTACTACTGCATATAAAAAACTTGTCATTAGTAAAATTTCTGTTGCTCCATACACTTTTGCACCACTGAAGTTTCTGCACCGTCATCTCAGGTATTGGGCACTAAGGGTGTTAAAGCAGTATCTTTTCACTATTTAACACTGGCCTGCCTTATGATTTAACTGTTTCAAACTGTAGCTTTTCTTTTTTTCATTTTCTTTTTTGTTTGTTTTGATTTGTTGTTGTTCTGTTTTTTTTTTTCCATTACTTTAAAATTTGTAAACAGGGATGCTTGCACCACAGAAAGGCTTCTAACAAAACAATACTCCCTGCTCAGCTACCCCTGGGGCCACACCAAGGCTTCTAAAGATGCTCAGTTGTGACTCTGTTTTCATTCTAAACAAAATGCTCTCTCCCCTTCTCTGTCTCTCTTTCTGTCGTATGCACGCACACGCACAAAAGCATTGACATAGTGTCTTACTTTTTTTGTTGCTGAGATGCAATATCCAATACCTACAACTTAAGAAAGGAGGGGTTTATTTGGCTCAATTGTAGAGGTTTTGGTTTCTACTTAGCTGGTTCTGAAGCAGAACACAATGGCACGTGCATGGTAGGCAGGAAGCAGAGAATCAAGGAGGAGCCGAGGAGGGAGAGACACCCTTCCAGGCTGTGCCCAGTGATGCCCACAGTGACTGTGCCCTCCAACCCAACCCCATCTCCCTGCCATTAGCCAGCTCCCAGTCTAATCACCTTTTAAACATTGGGCTTTGGGAGCCGCTTTAGTTCTAAACCATAAACCTGCTTTTAAACAGTGTGAAAAGGATAACAATGAAAATCATTCCCCCGACTCCTACAGTCCCACAAGCTATCACAGCGCATGACACCACGGCCCTGCCCAGCCCCCGAGATGGTCACCTCCAGCAAGACACCATGTACATGCCTGAATGACTCTGCCAGGGGCTGGCAGTGTGTCCGTCCCTCTGCTTGCCAGTATCCTGTCTTCAGATGTGGACTTAATGACTATGAAGGTGGCAAGTGCTGCCACAGTATCAGTTAAATCTGAATTTAGAGTATTGTGATACACTGCCATTTCTGAATTTATCAGTACTTGATATTTCTGTTGACTTCCTCACGTCTTAGATGAAGATACAGCAGTTTTTATTTTATTTTTTGTCTTTTTTGAGACAGGGTCTCTCTATGCCGTTCAGGCTGGCCTTGAGCTCACTTTGTAGCCCAGGCTGGTCTTGAATTCTCAATGATCCTGAGTGCTGAGATTACAGGCGTGAATACGTCTATAGATACAGCATTTTTGTTTTACCTCCCCTAATATGAGCATCTTCCCAAGCACTTATGTCCATTCCTTCAGTAATTGATACTGGTGTGTTTATGCCATACCAATGGGTCACTGGAAGGTAGTGTACTGTGATTACAATTCCCCCATCCCTTAGCTAGCACTTTCTTTTTAAAATGTGTCTTATTCGAGTGGGTTTTTCTTTCCGTACTGATACTGTGGAGTTTTGGTTAATTATTTTTTCCTTTATGCATCAATAATTGGTTCAACCTAATTAGATATTTTATCGAAATATTTGCTTACTGCTGTCTCTTACATCATGCATCATTTTTATAATTTAAAAAAAATGGCTACGGTTCATTTCTGAGTGATGGAGAAACCAAATCCCTTACTTGAAAAAGCATGTGTTTTTTTCTCCCGTCCAAAGGATTGACTAGTTATAGAATTCCAATTTCACAGTCACTTCTCAAATTTGCAAGTAATTGTATTATCATTAGGTTGCCAATATTACCATCTAGTTCAGTGTCTCTAATTCACATTTAATTGTACATAATCTGTCTCCCTGTCTGAATGCTTTTAAGGTTTTATTGGGGAGGAGTTGTTAGGTTGTTTTTCTTGACGCATGCACGCTTCATGAGGGTACGGCTACTCACGGGTCTTCTCCCACAGGTTTGGCACTCAGAGGCCTTGTGTCCTGAGTTGTGGGAAACATTTTTTTTTTTTGTTATTTCTTTGATCACTGCCTCGCACTTGACCTTTACTGTTCTAACATTCTCCTAAGAAATGGGCCTTTGCTGTCCATCTTTCCATCCCTACCTAGCTTTTTGGTAGGGTGAGAGGATGCCAGAAATCAAACTCAGGACCTCACACGTGCCAGGCAGGCATTGCGACACTGAGCTAAACCCCGACCCTTCCACCTCTACCTTTTAAAGCCATGTTCTTGAGGAATCCCTGAGCCTGTGTGGCTGTCTGCGTTTTACCCTCCCACCCATCTGGGTTGCAGCCCTGGGCACAGCCTGAAGGCCCTGTCAGCCGTGGTGCCTCAGGGACAGGCGAGGCCTTGTGGTCCTGCAGCATCTATCACTTGGGGTTCAATTTCACCTGGTACTTTAGATCATGTCAATCGCTTTGTTAGTCTAGAAGAATTATGAGTGGTTTTGTAACTGTGTTTTTAATTTCTTAGATTTTATTTCAATGTGTTATTCTCTCCAGTTTCTCTAGGATTTTAATTATATGCCCTTAAAATTCTATTTCCTCTTTTCTTCATTTCTTGAAATTGTTCCTCTCCTCAGTCCCCCTCCCCCTTTTTTTCACTTACATATTTTTAAATCGTCGCCTTGGAGTTTCTCCCAGAGTCCCACATTCCCAGGATGATGTGGGATTGGGCCTCCTCAACCAATGCCTGACATCTGTGCCTGTCACTTTAGAGGACACCTCTGCAGCTGGGCCTCAAGGAAGCAGCTCGGAATTCTGAAGATGGCCGCTGAGGGCGCCTCTCTGTGCTCAGCCCAGTGCCAGGCCCTCTGCCTTGTCACAGTGGCTTGGGGGGCTGCCTGACAGCTTGTGTGTTGTTGATTCCGAATTTGTAATTTAAATTTCTAAGACTTCTTGAGACAATTTCGTATCCCTCATGATACTCTTTCTTGTATGTGGCTTGAGCTGTGAATATTTTCTCTGGCTTCCTCATCTGTCTGCATCCTTCTGTCTTTGCCATCTAGGAGTCCTCAGGATCTCTGCTGCTGGTGGCCACCTTTCTTCCCTCCAAGGCTGATAGGGATCTCTCTTTTATTATTTTCACATAGTAGGAGGATATTCACATGAATGGTTTTAACCAAGACTGGGCTAAGCACACTCGCCAGCCCCTCAGGTTAACGTCAGACTTGTCCATCTTCCAATGCCAGTCTTTTCCTCGTTCATTTCCTGCCTGGCTCCCTGGGACCCAGTACCTCTGACTCCAACAGGGAGAGTGCTCAGAGCCTGTTTTCCCTGGGTGTCTAGCCGTGGTTTGTCACTATGGGATTTAGAACGAATCTCTTCTTTTCTCTCCCCAGCCATCACTCTTACTGTTTTTTGTTTTTGTTTTTTTTTTTTCTGAATTGCTATTGCAGCCGTCCCTCTCTACCTAAAATCTTACCAGTGGTGCTTATCATTCGGACTTAAACAGTTTTCAGTGCAGGGGTTAAGCACAGGTCCCCAGTGCCACACATCAAGCCCTTTGCGGTCTCTGCTTCCTCTCCGGAGCGGTCCTCACCATAGCACTCTGATCATGCCTACTTCTGTGTCTGGTGTGTGGCGGGGACAGGGGGTGGCATGGCGCTCTGGGGGACCAAGCCCAGGGCATTGTGCATGCTATGTAGAATGCTCTGCCACTGAGGATTTTTCCTTGTAACCTATTAAAGAACAATACCAATTAAGTGGAAGTCTAATCAAGATAAAATGAAGTGAAATAAAATGTTATTCATAGCAAGGTTGTAGGACTGGTAGCCTTCTGCTAGATTAGGAAAGGCATAGTTCACTGGCTGTGGTTGAAAGTGGAGGGGGATCATGTGTCTTTCATCTTGGGTCTTCCTCTCCTTTGATGTTAACACAAACATGACTGTTAGGACAAGCTAAATTTTCTGCTCTGAAATCTTAAAATCCACGCTTTTGTTCTTATCACTGAACTGTTTGTTTCCTAGGAGACTTGAAAGACAATCCTGTGGAGTCTGTGGGACAAAGGACTCTAGCATAAGTCACAAACAGCAAGCTTCGAGGAAGATGTGGCCAGTTAGCACCTGGGAGTAGGGACTGCCTTATGACTCTTCAGCGGAAAAGGACAGGGTTCTGAGCTAGATCCCTGCCAGAAGTGGGGAGCGGCATCTTGTCATATTCCAGAAATAAGAACAGTCTAGCGATTCTTCGGTGCCTTGGCAAACACTGAAAGTGAAAGCTACCTCTCTCTGGCAACCCCAAACTAGATGGCCTCACAAGACTCCCCTGGGAAGCTGCATAAGAATGAGCCCCAGGACCCCAGGGAGAGCCAAGCTGTCTCTGTTCCTGGGGAGTGCACCGAGAGGCAAGGGGTGCAGGGGGAGAGGCCGCCCATGGCCCGGGGTTCTGGAAACCTGCAGCTTAAACTTGGGTCTGACAGAACACAGCCAGTGTCACCACTGGTTGGTGGTGAAGCCACTTGCCCTCGTGGCCCAGTGAAAGAATCGGATCCCTGTGTCCATAACCACAAAGACATTTCAAGGTGGAAGTCACGGTTGGTCAGCTGCAGCCACCAGCGAGCTCACCCAGAGCACAAGTCCTGCCACTGTGGCAACTGTGGGAAGTTGCTGCCCACTGGCCCAGATGCTGCTCCCTACACAAAGACCTGCGCTGCAGAGAAGCCACAGAGGTGTGACCAGTGCAGAAAAGACTTCAGTGCGAAGCCAGAGCTCCTGCCCCACCAGAGACACCACACGGAAGAGAAGCCCTACGCATGCACGCAGTGTGGCAGAGGCTTCACCCGAAGCTCCAGCCTGCTGGTCCACCAGGCCATCCACGCTGACGAAAAGCCCTACAAGTGTGACAAGTGCGGCAAGGGCTTCACCCGGAGCTCCAGCCTGCTCATCCACCATGCCGTCCACACGGGCGAGAAGCCATACAAGTGTGACAGGTGCGGTAAGGGCTTCAGCCAGAGCTCCAAGCTGCACATCCACCAGCGCGTGCACACAGGGGAGAAGCCCTACACCTGCGGCGAGTGCGGCATGAGCTTCAGCCAGCGCTCCAACCTGCACATCCACCAGCGCGTGCACACCGGGGAGCGACCCTACAAATGCGGGGAGTGCGGCAAGGGCTTCAGCCAGAGCTCCAACCTGCACATCCACCGATGCATCCACACCGGTGAGAAGCCCTACCAGTGCTACGAGTGTGGCAAGGGCTTCAGCCAGAGCTCCGACCTCCGCATCCACCTCCGTGTGCACACTGGGGAAAAGCCCTACCACTGCGGAGAGTGCGGCAGGGGCTTCAGCCAGAGCTCCAAGCTCCTCATTCACCAGCGTGTGCACACCGGGGAGAAGCCCTACGAATGCAGCAAGTGCGGCAGGGGCTTCAGCCAGAGCTCCAACCTGCACATCCACCAGCGTGTACACAGGAAGGACCCGGGCCCGTGACATGGCTGGGCCGGCCCGCTTGTGCTGCCAGGACTCCATGTTTCCGATGTCTCTTTCCTTTCTGGTCCTCAGCAGAATCAGGGAAAGAATCAGGCAGATGTGTGCCCTCATGGAGAAGTCATTCACTCATGCAAAGCACCAAGCACTCTGCATGCTGGGGTGGGGGGACCTGGTCCCTCCCATGGGTAGAGTGAGGTGTCTCCATGTCAGGTCAGCCAGTGTTACAGAACTACATTTCCCCCTAGCGTTCTTAACTGCAAGAACTTTATATTTTGTTTGTCCAGGTAGGGCATGTTTTCCTTTGTTCACATTTTGTGCAAAATTGGAACTCTTGTTTCTCTTCAGATGATGTGCCTTGTGCTTTTCAAATCTTCGAGTCCCAAGTAGCCTGCCCTAACTCTGATTGTATATTACATCCATTTGAGGCCGGGTGGGGTGAGGCCTGGAAATACAATGGGCATCCAGATCTCCCGTGTATAATGCCAAAGCGTACGTACGTAAGTTTGTGGCCACACAATAAGGAGCTGGAAAAGAGTGAGAGACCCTGTAACCCTGTTTTAACAGAGATCTTGAACACACACTGGTCCCAGGTAGCCCCTTGGAAACATACCAGCCAGCTTATTGGTACCTGCAGGCTGAAGGCAAAAGAAAGTCCAATGCAGCGTGCCCAAGGAAAGTCCTAGTAAAACCAGCACTGAGAGTGGTTTTGAGAGGTGAGGGTTCCAGGCGGAGCACGGGGAGCCTGCCTGGCAGAGGCTGCAGAAACCATGTTGGGGCCTAAAAAGCTAAAGCAGAGAAAGTGACAGATAATGATTTTTATTAAGCACATTGATTTCTCAAGACAGCATTAAAATGCTAGGGAAGTTTTTTTGTTTTTAGATTTATAAAACCATAGCAAGAAAGAGATCCGGAGAAAGTCATCAGCAAGTGAGATCTCAGAGAGTGAAAGGTAGAAGCTGCTGTGGTGCTGCACACCTGTAGTCTCAGCTGCTCTGGAAGTACAGGTGGGAGGACCACAGAGCCAAGGAGTTTTTTAAGCAAGCTGAAATCCCAGTCTTCGAGCTCAGCAAAGGCAAACCCAGGGCCACAGAGGTAGAACAAGCTGAAAGCGTCCCACCTGGACTCTGGGGTGGTAACAGTGCAAGTAACAAAGCAGGTGAATGAGGCTCTGGAAAAAAACCAAATCAGAAATTCTCAGAAAATTACAAAGATGGTGACTGTATTCCTAAAAGCACAAAATGCTAAAAGAAAGAACCACCAAGTGGGTAACACCATATTCATAAGTTTCATAACTCAAAGACATAGAAAAATCAAAGCAACTTTTCTTCTACCCCCACCAGGGATCAAACTATAATAATCATAACAATGGTATCTGAACTAGGACAGACATATAGTGTAAATAAATGGGAGGCTTAGACCCAGCTATATATTTTCTTTTGATAATGATTTAATGGAAGAAAAGAGCTTTCAATACAAAATTCTGGAGAAGTCAAACATGGTAGTGCATGCCTGTAATCCCGGCACTGGGAAGGCTGAGACAGGCAGATCACTGAGGCCAGTTTGGGCTACAAAATGAGCTCAAGTTCAGTCTGAACTGCACAGCAAAATGCTATCGCAAAAAGAAAAGTTCTGGAGGAAATATTTATGTGGGGAAATGTGTAATTTAAACGTAAATATAAAAACCAGAAAGTGCCCAGAAGAAAATCTTAAGACAAAAAAAGCTAGTGTGTGTGGTGGTGGTTTATGCCTATATACTCAGGACCGAAGCAGGAGGATCATCATGAGTTTGAGACCAGCTTAACAAGTGAGTTCAAGGCCAGCCAGGACTACATAGAAAGACCCTGTCTCAAAAAAAAAAAAAACAAAACTAAGAATGGAAGCTCAGTGGTAAAGCATATGCTCCAAACTTTGGGTTCAAACCCCAACCTTACAGAAAATGAGGATCATTAAAAAAAGAACATGTAGGGCTAGGGATTTAGCTCAGCAAAGTGCCTGCCTTGCAAGCTCGTGGTCATGAGTTCGATCCCCGGTACTGATAAAAACAAGAAAAAAGAACATATAGAGCTTCATTAATTTTAAAACTTACTAGCCAGGGCTGGGGATTTAGCTCAGCGGCATAAGCACCTGCCTTGCAAGCAGGTGGTTGTGAGTTTGATCCTTAGTACCGATAAAAATGAAAAAGACAAAAAAAAACTTACTAGCCAGATGGAGTGGCATAAGCCTGTAGTCCCTTCTCAAAAGGCCGAGGCAGGAGGACTGCTTGTCAGGAATAAACATGGACCTCACCTCTAAGTAAATAAACTATGTTGTCTGAAACTATTAAGAAATGAATGCTAAGCACTGGATAATGGCTAATCTTCTACCCAGAATATTTAAATCACTTACAGTCATAAAACACAACTTGATGGAAATACAAGATTTGAATGAGTATAAAGGAAGGTGTGTGTGTGTGTCAAGTAAGCTTATGAAAGAATATGTCAATGGCTAGAGAAATGCAGGGCGGAACCAGGAGCTAACATATACAGCTGGAGTAAAACATGTACTACCAAGCTGTTGGACAAAATGCAAAACAGTGCAGCCATCTGGGAAATAACTGTTCTTAAGAAGACCACATAGCCATACTGCACCGCAGGGCAGCCCCACTCCAAACTGGTTAATTGGGGTTAAGGAAAATCCATTTCCACCCAGCCCTCAGTGAAAAGTCAGCAGCTTCCTAAGTGGAGACAATTTACCAGGAGATGGCAGGCAGAGGAGACACCTGGCTAGTTCAACAATGGGATACTTTTCACAGTGAAAACCTTACCAGTAGGTTAACAGTAGGAGGCATGAATGTCCAGTACAAGCTAGGTGCAAGAAATCTTATGCACAGGAAATATGGGAAAGGTATATCTACAAGGAGACCAGCGGAGTGAAAGAAAAGGACATGGGCTGTTTCAGCCGCAGGGGGTACAAAAGTCCCTAAACGATTTACATAAGTGGGTGGATTTTTCTGTACACAAATTGTGTTCAGTAAAACTAATTGGAAACTTACACACATGTGTGCACACCAGTGCACAGTCATCTCAGAGTGACCCAACACTGGCTCGCTGTTTCTCGGGGTTGGTAAGGAGTGCTGACCAACTGTATAATGAAAATGGCCTTATGTACTCCACTGTCAGACAGGTAACCACGGGTTTCTCGGAGTTCAGGGAAATATTATCCTGACGTCATTTTAGCCCATATGTTCCTGAGTCACCCCTATCTGTTTTACAGATAACACTTTGGCTCGTTTGCATGAATTTTCCTCCCAGAGTTCTGAGCCTGCATGATTCTCGGAACTTCACATGGCAGATCTTGGTCTGAGCAAGCCCTTGGATTCTTTTCCTTCTGAACACCCATCCACCACTTGCCACTCCTTTTGGAAAATCTACAGATATGTTCCTTCCCTGAAGACAGAACTGGTTTTAGCTGGGCATTGAGGTGCATACCTATAATCCCAGCACTCAGAAGACTGAGGCAGGAGAATCCTTGCTAGTTTGAGACCAGGGCTAGCCTGAACTGCATAGTGAGACCCTGTCTCAAAAAAGACCGAGGGAGAGAAAAATGGCCTTATTGTAGGACTAAACTAAGTAAGATAAGGATAAATACTGTATTACTGACAAGGAAGATTATTTCAGGCAAAGGTCCCTTCCAAGGCCTTGGCTAAGAGGAAGAAAGTGAATGGGGTGTGCTAGAGCTTGGCAGATTGGTCCCCCAGCCCTGAGACCTGCTTTGCCTTAACTGTGATCCTGGCTCGGAGGAAGGAAGGTAAAGGTGAGGCGAGCAGTCATCCAACCCAGTGGAAACTCCCACAAGGAGGATTTTTAGCACTTGGTCAACCCCTGGGAAACAGTGCGTTGGTGGAACTAGCAAACCATTTTTTTAATCTTGTCGTAAATTATTGGCATTCTTTAGGTTTATCTCTTCTTTATTCTAAATAGCATCTTCCTTATCTACGCCAGTCTACTTGTGAAGATTAAAATAAGAGCAAGGGAAAGGCTTTGTAAGCTGAGGACCCTGCATGTGTGAGGTATGGGGTGCTCTTCAGGGACACCCCGGAACCAGCCTGCCACTGTCATCTATCTTCCACACCTGCTGTTCTGCCAATGGCTCAGGGGTGGCAGTGTGGCCAGCTTGTGTCCATACTATAGTTCAGATCTAAAATGTTCCCCAACCAGGCATGGAGGTGCTTACCCGTAATGCCAGCACTCGGGAGGCTGAGGCAGGAGTATCACTGCGAGTTCAAGGCCAGCCTGCACTACATAGTGAGAGCCTATCTCAAGAAAACAAAATAAAATGTGTCCCAAACTCCTGTGGCTAGATGATCACAGCAGGGGGCACTGTATTCATCAGCGCTTTCTTCCATTCTTAGTTCAGTAGTTAAATATGCAGGTAGGAGGATAGGCCTGGTTTGAGGTGGCCCCACGGGGACATGGCCCTGAAGAGTGGATTTTCCCTGGCTCACCTGTGCATTCGCTCCCCCTCCCTCCTTCTCCTCTTCTCCCTCTATCCCTCCCTCCCCTTCCCCTTCTCCCCTCTTCCTCCCTCTGTCCTCTGTCTCTCTGTCTCTGTCTCTTTCTGCCTCCTGGTCACTACAGGTTGAGCACCTAGTCCTCTACGCAGGCCTTTCCACCAAGCCTTTTGTGCCTGGGTCAGTTGAACAAGAACTGAAATCATGAGGCAAAATAAACCTCTCCTGCTTACAGCTGCACACGTGAGATTTTTTTTTCCAGTGACAAGAAAGTGACTAAGACAGTCCACTGCTACGTGTGACCATGCTCCTGGCTCCTGGGCCCACTATTGCAGTGATGTAGCTGAACTCCCAATGGTAGCCACCTGTGGGAGCCTCTGGTCCCTTGACTTTCAGCCCCAGCCCCGAACTGCACCCTGGGTGTGGCCTCCTGGCAGAGACAAGTGCCTGGACACCTGCCCCTCCACCCCGTTCTGATGAGTTCGCTGTGTGCTGGGGTTTAGGGCAAAGGCTTCTTGTGCCCCGTCACATGCGTGGCCTTTGTGCCACGAGAGGCCTGGCTGGTTTGTGAAGGTGTCCTACACTCGGCACACTGGTAAACTTTCTCCCCTGTGTGTGTCCTCCAAAGGACTCTGAGAGGTGACTCGAGCTGAGGGCACCCTGCACATACTACATTTAGACCTTCCTATGTGTGCTCGGTGTTTAGGAACTGCCTTGCCAAAACAGTGTCCTGTACTGAGCATTTTCAAAGGTTTCTCTTCTCCATGTGTTTCCTGATGAGAGCTAGTTGGTTTGTTGAGTTCTCCACTCATTCCATTCCAAGGTTGGGAGTGTTTTGTTTTGTTTTGTTTTGCCTTTTGAGAGAGGGTCTCCCTAAGCAGTTCAGGTTGGTCGGGAGCTCACTTTGTAGTCCATGCTGATCTCAAATTTGCAACCATCCTCCTGCCTCAGCCTCCCAAATGCTGGGATTATAGGTGTGTGCCACCACACCCGCTGTTTGGGGTTTTTTTCATTGCAAATGGAGACTGTCTTCTTGCTGAAACCTTTCTCACTACGCTGCAGTATTTCTTCTTAGTGATAACTCCATGGTGTTTATTTAAAATTGGTTTCTGCATCTCCGTCATTTGCCCACAGGCACTAAACTCACAGCAATTCTCATTATGAGCTCTGACAGGTGAGAGGCCTGGGCACCCCTCCTGAGCAGGCTCAGGGGTCGGGAAGGCTGCCCCCTGCTGGCAAGCTTTTCTACACGCATGTACTGCTAACACTGCCTCAGAGTTGGCTTATTCTGGTGCTGAAACAGGTCCTCATGCTGACCAAAGGCTTCTCCAGGTCTTTCCTGTGCAGAAGGCTTCTTTCAAAGGAATGTGGCAGCACACACAGAGATTGAGGCTGAAAGATCACTGAGAGTTCTTGACTACATGGTGAGTTCAAGGTCAGCCTGAGCTATTCAGCAAGACCTTTCCTAAAAAATAAAAAAACGTCTCCCCACCGTAAGCATTGTTATGCTTTGTACACAGGAACAAGAATTTCCTTACAGCGGATGCACTAGTAATTACCTCTGAAAGAGAATTCAAACTCTGCCCCAGGAGTCATGTCTATCAGGTAATTTTCTCACTGGAACAGGGCTTGTGTACACACCGCTTTCCAAACACATAATTTCTATCCTTAGTCTCCTTAGTTTGGTTGTTGCTAAAATCAACTTTCTGCAAATGCTGATATTGATTTTCGTGGGTCTTCTCTGCCAGGTTATCAACTTTCCAGAATTCTAAACATGAAAACAATTTATCACACCTTACAGAAGTTAACACAGCTGATGTATAGAGGAAAGTGAACACACATAACTCTAGCACAGCGCAATTTTCCAGGCTGATGGCAAAGACCCCATTCTCTTAGGATTGAACAAAACAAACAACCTTCAGTATAGAAAATGAGAAAAGTAAGCCAGGCGTGGTGGCTCAAACCTGTAATCCCAGCACTCAGAAGACTGAGGCCTGAGGATCATTGCAAGTTTGAGACCAGCCTAGGCTACAAAATGAGCTCAGGCCATCCTGAACTGCAAAGACAAAAAGAAAAAGAAAAAGAAAATGGGAAAAGTCACGTGGGTACTTAAAAATTCACATTTGCAGCATTTTGAATTTCAGACCAGAAACATTAAACTGACTGTGTAGCCCATGCTGGCCTCACACTCACAGCAATTCTCCTGCCTCAGCCTTTGGAGTGCTGCGATTACAGGCACACAGCACCACACCTATAGTCCATAGAGTTATCATGTAGTTTCTATGAATGACAATGTCCCTCACTGTCTATTACTTTGAACCCTGAAGGCCACTGTCTTTAGCTTTTGCTAAAGAATTGACAACATCTCTTATGGAATTCAGCCTAAAATTACAAAGCAAAGCAACTCTTAATGTAAAACTTACATTTTGATGCAAAGATTATTGATGCTAATAATTATTATACTTGTCATTTCAGCAGGTAACACTTTTAGAATCACAGGTTGGGTCAAACAGCACATGGGATATTTTCAAAATCTCAGCTATTCAGGAGGCCAAGGCAGAAGGATCAAGAGTTCAGCCCAGCCTAGACAACATAATGAGATTATATCTCATTATTTTAAAAAGTTAAACAATGACATCTCCATTTCCAAATCTATACTGGATTCATTTTCCAAGCTCAAACTATGATGCTTCCAGCATTTTCTAGACCTCAGAGCGTCAGACCTCCACATTTAAAAATTCATTTAACTTTACAATTAGTATTTCAATGACGCTTCATTACATAAGACCTCAATCACAAAGAGCCACCAGAAAACAGGAAAAAAATCCTCGAAATTTAAAAGCCTAAGGAATTCTGAAACCTTTCAACAGAAGGCATGAAACAGAATATATGTGGAAAGATGGTGAAAATCTCTTAAAATAAAGAACAAAAGAGAGCGCTCTGCCCCTGAGCGTCACCTGCCTGGGCACATGGCCTGGCCTCCCTATGCCCACTCCTCTTGTCCTTAGTGGATTCGCCCTCTCCTGGGTACAGCTGGGAGGCTCTGCGTTACCAGCCTGGGCCTGGTGTGTGCCTTCTGTTATCACTTCCAGCATCCTCTCTGAGTGTTTCCTGAGTGCCTTAAGAAACTCCTCCCTTGGGCCCGAGGATTGGGCCCAAGGATTTAGCTCAGCAGCATAAGCACCTGCCTTGCAAGCCTAAAGTTGTGAGTTCGATCCCCCGTACCAAAAAAAAGAAGAAAAAGAAAAAGAAGCTTCTCCTTGCTAAGTATAACTACACCCCATATAGGCTCATTGGCAGACTACTTGCCTAGCTTGTGCAAGGCACTGGGTTCAGTGATAAACACACAAAACCAAACCACAGGTCTCTAACTATAAACTCTGGGAGGTACCAAAGGAGAACCATGGCAGGCAGTAGGAAGACAAACAGATGTGGACCTTAGGATTGAAGCAGTTACACAACTGCAGGGAGCTCTGCATTCCCCTACCCACCCCCTGACCACAGAAAAACTCACAGGTGGGCTTGTTCCTGCCAACTGAACAGTAATCTCCAACCTCAGAGCTCAGCAAGCTAGGCTAGCCGGGGACTCAAAGAAAATGCAAACCAGCATTATCAGCAGTGAAGGAAGCTGCTCAGAGATTCTGCAGCCATTGAAAAGCTAATGAAGGAAAACCTTTATCCTCACACCATCAGCAGGTCAGGAGAAACTGGGCAAGTCCCCAAAACCCACACACTACAAAGATTCAACCAATAACATTAGTCCTTTAAAGTTGAATTCATAATTAAAAAGCTTCCAAAGTCTCTAGAGCCAGACACACTGAAAAACTCTATCAAAGGTATAAAAGCTAGATATTCTCTTCCAGGAAACAGACAGGGAGGAACACTTCCCAACTCATTTTATAAGGCTATCATTAGCCTAATACAAATCAAATGCAGTACAAAAAAACTACAGACAAACAATTAACTTTGTCTTTTCTTTTTTTTTTTTTTAATCGGTACCAGGGATTGAACTCACTTATGCTGCTGAGCTAAATCCTCAGCCCCCCAAAAATTAACTTACACACCAAAAATATGAAACAAATTTTCCCCAACCAAATTCAGTAATATATAAAAGAATTTATACATCATGACCAGAAAAGCCACTATATCATCTACCATACCAACAGGCTAGTGGAGAAAAACATGATCATATCAGATGTAAGGAAAGCATTTGACAGGAATCCAATACAGGAATAAACTCCTCACCAGCCTGAGTGGTAGCTGTGCCAAAAAAAAAAAAAAAAGGAAAGCAAACCTGAGACCATCATCCTCCAAAGGCCCATCTGCAAGGGTGCAAGGGTAGCAGCCTGGGCTGCTACCTGGGAACTTGTATCTCAGTGTCTTGACAACTCCTAGGAACATTCAACATGCCTCAGCTGTCTCTGGAGAGACAGGACCCACACTGACCAGTCCCCCAGGGAAGCTGGAATGTCAGTGCTGGCTTGCAGGGCACCCGCACAGTGTCTCGACAACACTTCCAGAGCATTGTCACGGCTGATGCCAGAAGCAAGTGTGACGTGCTGTGTGATTCTGCCTGTGGACACTGCACTCCTGAGAGCTTGTCCCTGTTTTCCTCCGAACTCTGCCCATGTGCCCATTGCTTTATCTGAGTTTACTTTTTTATCCTTTCACTCACTCAAAAATGCAGATAAGTGAAACTCATGCAATTATGTCCCGTGTCTCATAGGTCTTCACTCGTATGGTGTAACAGTTCATATTGGCAACTCTCTTGGCTCAGTGGACACCCAGATGTATGTACACTTGTGGGGCTAGGGGTTTAGCTTAGTGGCATAAGCGCCTGCCTTGCAAGCAAGCAGTTGTGAGTTCGATCCCTGGTACCGATAAAAAGGAAAAAGATAAATAAATAAATAAATGTATGTATGTACACTTGTGCCTGTGTCTGGGTGAGTTGCGAGGTGTGGCCATCAGGCCTGTACCTGGTCCCTGATCTCTCTTTCAACTCTTCGTCTGCTCCCTGCTCCTCAGCCACCATGAAGTTAACCGCATCCTCTACCACACTCTTCTACCATGACACCTTAGAGCCCGCCAACCCAGGCTGAGGCCTCTTAAAACCATGAGCCAAAATAAACCGTTTTCGCTTGTAAACTGTGTATATCAGGTATTTGGTCATAGCAACAGAAAAGTAAGTGATAAACATAATTTTGAGGGTAATGTCAAGCTGACCAGAGAAAGACTTTCATAATAAACATTCTTCCCTCTACAAGCAACACGAATCCACTAAAAGAATCTTGCTGCCCTCGGCAAACAGAACTGATAGCCATAAAGAGATTTAGGGGTGGACAATCTCCTGGACGCCGGAATGTCCAGTAGTGTCTACACACCTGCACTGATCATCCACATATTCCATCCAGATTCCTTGAGGTTATAAACCCCTTTCTCAAACCCTGTCCTGGCCTATCCCCTCCTCCAGACCACTGGCTCATATCACTCTGATGTCAACCTGCCTGTGCCTACACAGAATGGAATCCAGCCTTTTCCTCACATGAGCCTGTCTCTGGTGTTTCCTCACAGGCTGCCTTTAACAGGTAAGTACTGGGTGTTGAGCTCAGAGCCTTTATACTAAGCTACATCCCCAGTCTTTTTTAGAGACAAGGTCTTGCTAAATTGTCCAGTGTGTTGGTTATTTTTTTGATTGCTGAAACAAAATACCTGACACTCAAAGTTTAAATAGGAAAAGTTTATTTAGCTCACAGTTTGTAGGTTTTAGTCCATAACTGGCTGGCTCCAATGCAGGGTGGCACATGACATAGGGGTAGCAGTTCATGGCAGCAGATGACAGCAAAAGCAACAAAAGAGAAAAAAAGTAATGAGTCTTTTTCTGTCCTTTATATTGTACGTATGCTACCCATCTTCAGGCAGGGGTAGCACTCACCTCCATAATCCTAGCACTGGACCATCAATCAATTGCACACTCTAAATTCAGCCACCTCTGGAAAGCCCACTCCCCATGACTGTGTGAGACTCTGGGGGAACAACCAGACACCAACCATAATACCAACACTGAGCTTGAATTACAATCCTGTTGCCTCAGCCTCCCATTGTTGCAGTCACAAGGTCATGTGCCCCCATTCCTGGCTCATGTGACTTTCGTGGTTGTTTTTTGAGACAGGGACGTACTAGGTAATACAGGGTGGCTTTCAACTCACAGTGACCCTCCTGCCTCAGCCTCTCAAGTACTGAGATTATGGGCATGCCTTGCTGGTATAATGTTTTTTAAATAAAAAAAATTTGAGAAATGGTGAAGAGATCTGTAATTGCTAAAAGTTAGGAAGGTTTTTTTTGTGTGTCTAGTGGGGGTTTTTTTAAGGAAGACTTAAAAGAGTTGGAGATGGGTGTGGTTATAAGACAGCAGCTGAGGGCTGGGGATTTATAGCTCAGTGGTATAAACGCCTGCCTTGCAAGTGAGTGGTCGTGAGTTTGATCCTCAGTACCGATTTAAAAAAAGAGAGAGAGAGAGAGAACAACCTTCAGAATCATAGTGATGGACCTGTTCTCAATGGTGACAGTTGGAGGACCCTACATCTGTGATAAAATTACACAGAAAACAGTGCACATGTATTGCTGTGATGTCAACTTGAACGGATTAAGATTAGAGGCAGATTAGAGGAGCACAGTGCTGGGTGTGTGCGGATTATTGATGTGTAACCTGCAAACTGAAAAAGGAAGACTCACCCAGATGCAGGTGCCACCAACCAACAGCTTTACCACCTGGATGGAACAAAATAAGCAAGACGGAAGGCCCCCGCCTTGTGCCTCTTCAGAGGAGCTCCAGTTTCCTCTATCGGATGTGGACACTGGACTCCAGGTCCTTCGAGCTTCCAGCACAGGCTCTGCAGCCTAGGTAACCCTTCAGCTTCCCAACAAGGACCCAAACGGGACTCTGCAGTGAGCTCCAGGCCCTCGACCTGTGACTAGGTCCTTAGCTCTCTGGCGCACACCAGCCATTCTGCACTTATCCATCCCTAACTCAGCAGATGGCCACTGTAAGCCCACTCAGTAAATCTGTTCTATCTGTTCCTCTAAGGAACCCTGACACAACTGCATTAACGCATGCAGTAAGAAATTTTCAACATCACTGGTAGACTGTATCCATGTCCTTATCTGCCTGACACTGTGGCATAATTTTGCAAGATAATACCAACGGGGAGAACTAAGAAAAGAGTATACAGGACCTCTCAGTCATTGCTTACAACTGAAACTTACAAATATCTCAGTAAAAACTTTTTTGACGGGTTCTTCCCATCTGTGTGGTTCCGAGTCAACACTGCGCTGGACAGCGGCTGCCTTCAACTGATTTCCGCGTTCTTGCAACCCATGAACATTCAATTTCCCGCTTTTGCGCACGCGCCAACACTCCCCCAATCAGCTGTCAGTACGTCATCCTACCCACCCCTTTAACTCTACCCTGCCAACACCAAATAAAAGCCTGCGGTTTTCTTTGTCTCCCTCAGAAGGTGCTTACCTCTCTTCAGCAGTCCTGGCATGCCTGCAATAAAGGCCCTTTTCTCTTGTTTTTTTCTCCTGTCTCTCTTGTGCCAGAAGGACCAATCACTTTTCTTAGTCACTTTTCTCAGTCACTTTTCTCATGGATTGGGCAAAATATCCAATATCCAACAATCATAGCATAACGGAGGAAAGGTTTATTTTGGATCACAGTTTCAGATGTCTCATCCTATGCGTGGCCAGCCAGCTCCAAGACAGGAATAGTGTGGTGGAAGAGCCTGACTGAAGGAAGCTGCCCACCTCATGACGGCCAGGAAGCAGAGAGAGAAGGGAGGAACCAGAGAGGAAGGCAAATCCTTCCGGGTCACTCCTCCAGAGACCCCCTCTCCTGGTACAGTATCCCCAAGACTCAGTTACCTTTTAAAAGCCCCTCCTCTCAATACAGGAAGCCTTTGGAGGATATTCTAGGTCTAAATCATCACAAACCTTCAACTAAGGCTAAAAAAATTACATGGATACTAAGTATGAGACACATTTCATAAACATTAAATTTCACAAAAACTGGGGGCTGGGGATTTAGCTCAGCGGCATAAGCGCCTGCCTTGCAAGTAGGCAGTCGTGAGTTCGATCCCTGGTACTGATAAAACGGAAAAAGACAAAAAAAAAAAATCACAAAAACTATACAACACTTATAAACATATTTTCCATGGGCCAGGGATATATCTCAATGGTACAGCAACTGCCTGGCAAGAGCAAGGTCATGAGTTTAATACCTGGTACTAAAATATATATATCCTACAATGGTGCACTACAGTTGGCAAATTGTAACACAGACTCAGACTCATCTTACAAAGCATACTTATAAGTATACCAAGGATGATTTTTAAGTACAAATATATTTTATGGCACACTTACAAAAGCCCTTCGTATTTTTGTCAATATTAGTTACTAGTTTAAAATATTTGTTTCATAGTACATCTTTTTTGTGTGTGTATGTGGTCCTGGGGATTGAACTTACGACCTTGAGCTTGCTAAGCAGGCACTTATGCCACTGAGCTAAATCCCCAACCCCATAGTACATCTTTAACAATACCTTTTGTAAAAATTTTATTTCTAGGGGCTGGGGATTTAGCTCAGTGGCATAAGCACCTGCCTTGCAAGCAGGCAGTTGTGAGTTCCATCCCCGGTACCAATAAAAAGGAAAAAGACAAAAAAAAATTTATTTCTGAAACAGAAATTGTTTTAATATAAGACTCTAAATTCACAATCCCAAACTGACACAGTACCATTTAGTATATTCTTTGATACAAAGAATAATTTTAAGTTTTTTTGTTGCCATCATAAAATCTTCAAAATATTAATAAAAGTTTTCAATGTTGATTTCTTTAAAAAGATGTACCAGTTATTTGCTGTTCAATGAAATGTCACATTCAGGCAAATGTCACACCCATATTTATTAGATGTCGCATGCCTACCTTGGGTCAACTAATTTGAAGAGAAAGATTTCTGAGCCTCCAAGAAACCAGCAGGGATTCTTCTGATGTCTGCTGAAGCTTTCTTGGTAGGGGCAGAAGGCGACCCCAGAGTGTGGGTTCTCTTGTGATTTCCGAGGGCTGACCTGTGGGAGAAGGATTTCCCACATTCTGTATGCTCATAGGGCTCTTGCTGGTGTGGGCTGTCTGACGCTCTTGTGCTAAAGTTCTCTTACATTTGGGATATTCGAAGGGCTTCTCCCTGTGTGAGTTACCTGGTGATTAACAAAGTTCAGCTCTCGGAGAAGGTCTTCCCCACACTCCTTACACACAGTGTGCATACTCTGGTGCACCGTGAGAGGCAGTCTGTCACTGAAGACCTGCTGACACTCTCTGTGCTCATAGGGCTTCCTGCACTTGAATCCTCTAATGCATGTAAAGATTTGATGTCTCACAGAACATCCTCCCACATGCCTCACTAACAGGGCTTCTCCCCAGTGTTAGTCCACGAGTGTACCTTATGGCCTGACCAATAGCCAGAGGTTCACAGATCTTTCCCCCTCTGTGTATCCTCTGAAGAAGGATGAGAGAGGGAGGACTTGTGGCTGAAGGTTTTCCCACATTCACTGTATTTGTCTGTTTTCTGAAACCTCATTGCAAAATTCACTAACATGCTTGCTTAAGGGTCTCTCTTTCCTACATGTGTTTCTTGATCCACAGTGTAATTTAGTTTCTGGGAGAAGATTTCTTCATCTCCATGCCATTCAAAGGCCATTTTTCCTCTGGTAGTTTTTTCATTGCAAGTGGAGACTGTCTTCCTGCTGAAACCTATCTCACTTGCATTACACCCACAGTTATTTCTGCTCAGTGATAACTCCACAGTGTATATTTAGAGTTGCCGGAGCTGGGGATTTAGCTCAGCGGCATAAGTGCCTGCCTTGCAGGTGCGTGGTCATGAGTTCGATCCCTGGTACCGACAAAAAAAATAAATTAAAAAAAATAGAGTTGCCTTCTCCCCATTAGACCTCCCACAGTCATTAAATGCACTGTGATTCTTCTCAGTATGAGGCTGAGGCAAAAAGAGCCCTTCAAGTTCAAGGCCAGCCTGAACTACAGAGCAAAACCCTGTCTCAAAAAAAGACAAAAGGGGGGATTAAGCTCAGCGGCATAAGCACCTGCCTTGCAAGCAGGCAGTTGTGAGTTCAATCCCTGGTACCAAAAAACAAAAAATTTTTTAAAAATTAAAAAAACACATCTTTACTGCATTATAAGACACCTTGCCATGGATCCCCCTCCCTGGAAACACACATATCACTTTGCGAGTGTAACAGTAGCACAGCATTTGCCTAGTCATGCAAGGCTTAGGGTTCCATCCCTACACTGAGGAGAAGCTGAAGAAATCACTGCCACAGAGCCCAGGGCAGAACCTTGCAGACTCTGACGAATGACAGGGAGTGACCTGCATGACATTACAGGACACTCTGGATGTTCTCTAGGGGCCAGGGCTGAGCAATGCCGGGCCTCCTCCAGTCCAAGCCAGATGCATCATGGGAGGACAGAAGAGGCCCAGGCTCTTGGTGCATTCTGGGGGTCCAGCAAGATAAGCTGTGAAAGATGTCACACGCAGAAGAACAGGTCAAAGAAGACCCCACGGGATCTGCTGCTGCCAGCCAAGAAAGGAAGGAGGCAGCTTGGTGAGGGAGGCAGGGAGGCCAGTTTTAGCAACACCCCAGTGGAGAGGCAGTGGTGGTGTGTGCCTGCAATCTCAGTACTTTGGAAACTGAGGTAGGAGGACCCCAGATTCAAGCCCAGGGCAGCTTAGTAACTTATTGACCCTGTCTCCAAGTGAAAAATAAACAGCTGGGAGTGCAACTCAGTGTGAAGATCCTGGGTTCAATCCTCAGTACACAAGAATATAAATACATATAAATACACAAGAATATAAATAGCTTCAAACCAGTGAAGCTAAGAAGACAGAAGCCACCCTGAGATGAGAGCAGGTAAGCAGGGTTCTTGGAGAGGAAACAGGCAGAGTTGGTAAAAGGCCCCACAGATTCAGGCTGCCCACCACCAGACGCAAAGCAAGCCCCAGCTCCTCCAGCTGCGAGCTTAGGACATGCGCACTCTGCCTGAACGTCAAAAAGAGGCAAACACTAAAATGCAGTAGTCACAACCCTTGCTCACTGGCCAGAGGTAGAGTAGCCTGTGAAGGCTAAGCAGGCCAGGACACAGTGAGGACAGGGTGAGGACAGAAGCTGGGCTGGTCAGGCAACAGGCTGGCTACAAACCGTACAATCCCAGAGAGTGAGGACAGGGGGCAGGACAGGAGGGTGGGAGCAACCAAACATGAGGAAGGGCTGCCTGGAGCGTAGAACACAGGAACGCTCTACAGAGAGGAGAAACCACCAGAGAGAAAGACAGAAACCAATCATGACGACGCTCCAGCCAGGATGGTGACACACACCTGCAATCTCAGCACTCAGGAAGCTGAGGCAGGAGGACTGCAAGTTCAAGGCACATGCCCACTGATCCCAGCACTCAGAAGGCTGAGGCAGGAGGACTGTTGTGAGCTCAAGGCCAACCTAGGCTACAAAGTTCAAGGCCTGCCTGAACTACAAAAGTTTAAAAAAGAATAAGAAAGCTCATGCCCCTAGGCTATACAGCAAGACTCCAAGACAGACAGAACATGAATATCCACTGGACAGAATCCTCAGGAAGACAGGCATCAACTTGTGCCACACACAGTAAGACCATTAGTGCCCCTGGGTTCAAAATGTGAGCGGGAACTAACATATCTGTTAGAAAATGCAACCTTAACCAATCTATGTATAACATTTAAGAAGGGGTTTTGTTTGTATGCTTGATTTTTGTTTTGTCTTTATGAGACAGGGTCTCTACTATGCAGTTCAGATTGGCCTTGAGCTCACTTTGTAGCCAAGGCTGGTCTTGAATTTTCAAGGATCCGCCTGCTTCAGCCTCCCAAATGCTGGGATTACAGGCCTGTGCCACCAAGCCCAGTTTAAGGAGTTTCTTTTCATTTTTGTTTTTTGTTGGGGGTTTTTGTTTTTGTTTTTGGTAGCAGGGATCAATATACCGCTGAGCCTGGCCCAGTTTTTTTTTTTTTTTTTTAATTGATAAGTTTGTTTTTTCTTGCAAATATCCCAGTGTCCACACCAGAATGGAAGCCAACTTCTGCAGGACCCAGGCATTTCAACCCAAGTAAAAGGACAGTCGTGAGCTCAAGGCCAACCTAGGCTACAAAGTTGTCCTGTGTACAAAGACTCTGCTTCCCCGGGAAGTGATTCTGGGCACCAATTTCCAGCTCTCACGGATAAATCACTAGTCTAGAACCACGGGAAGACCAGTAAAGACTTGGACTTCAGTGCCAAAAGCACCAAATGTCTCAGAAGGAATTTATGATTTCTTCTTTCTTCTTTTAAGTACTCAGGATTGACCTTAGGATCTCAAATTTTCTATGCACGTGCTCTGCCACTCAGCTACTTCCTCAGCCCTTTATTTCTTTTGGAGACAGGGGTCCTACTAAATTACCCATGCTGATCTGGAACTTAAGATCCTCCTGCCTCAGTCTCCTATCACCTGGCTCATAGGTATGTGCCACCACGACGGCCTGATGATTTTTCTTTCTGATGATTTCTTTTAATGGCCACTGCATATCACGTAACAGAACATCTGTGTTTGCCACAACTAGTAGAAAGACCAGACTGATGTGCTCGAGGATCAGAAGGCCTCCCACTTCTGCACACGTTCTAGGTGTGCTCACATAGGTGTGCTCGTGTGTTTTCCCACGTTAACTCCACTTACTTACACATTTGCACTCTATTTTTTTTTGAAACACATTTGCATTCTAAACTGAGACACTATAAACAAGTAGGAAGTAAACAAAACAACTCACCTGAGATCTGTTTTCTGCTGCTCTAGGAAACAGAACTAGGAAAGTGCACCTGAGGACAAAGAATGGATCACAAGCCAGGCATGGCAGTCCACACCTGTAATCCTAGGGCTCAAGAGGCTGAAGCAGGAGGATTTCCACAAGTTCCAGGCCAGTGTGGGCTACACAGAGATGCCATCAAAACAAAAACAAAAAAAGGATGGATCACAAGTGTGGCCTACTTTGTCCTCCTGCAATCTCTGTATAGAAAGCACTATATCGCCACTGGACAAATGTTGGTAGGAGAGACACACCTGGCCCTGAACTACTTTGGCAATGTTTTCCCTAGAAACTGCTTTTGAACTGTGTGAAAAATTTAAACTCCCCACTTGAGAGATTCCAGCTCACCCCAGAAAGAATGGCTACTATCAAGAAAGCAACCAGGGGGCTGGGGATTTAGCTCAGCGGCATAAGCACCTGCCTTGCAAGCAGGCAGTTGTGAGTTTGATCCCTGGTACTGATAAAAATGCAAAAGACCAAAAAAAAAAAAAAAAAAAGAAACCAACCAATAACAGATGCTGGCCAGGGGTTTGAAAAAAAGGAACCCCTCTCCACTTGGTGGCAGTGTAGACTGATGCAACCACTGTGAAAATCAGTGTGGAGATTAAATACTAGGACTAGAGGCCCATTAGACCCAGCTATTCTCCTCTGGGCCTCTTCCCAAAGTAAGTTAAAAACATCATCCCACAGTGATATATGTGCGCCCATGTTTATAACAGCACAATTTGTAATAGCCAGGTTTTGAAAATAACTTAAGTGTCCATCGACAGAGGAATAGATAAAAAAAAAATGATATGGTATTTTATACAGTGGAGTACTACTCTGTCATAAAGAAGGATAAACTGGAGACTTTTATAGGAAAATGGATGCAACTCGAGACCATACTTTTTAATGTGAGGACTTTGCGGGGGGGGGGGGGAGACCATACTTACAAGTGAAATAAATCAGACACACATGTGTAAATATTGTATTGTCTCAATAGTGTGAGAAGGTGAAAGAAATAACATATAATAAGATAGTTAAGGTAATTATACTACTGGTTTCTCTGAGTTCACTGAAGAGAAAATTTGTTCTGGTTCTGTTTAATTGAATGCAGATGACCTGTGCTCTGGGTGAATGATTTGGGGAAGACAGTATGCAATTTATATGCCACTGTTGCCTCTTGATTGACATATTTTCAAATTTTGGATTTTGTTTTGTTTTCTTTTCCCTTTTTCTCTTGTTGAAATAAAACGGATTTGGAAAAAATAAAAACTCTGCCTCCCTGATGAAGTTTCTGACTTTTCGATCTTCTGAGTTTGCTGAAGCCAGATGCCATGCCAGAGAAGAAAAAAAAGAAGAAAAAAATCTTTGACTCCAGGTGTGGGCACTCACCCTGTGGCACGGGAGCTTTCGTCCAAGTCCTCTATGCTGGACATGCTGAATGGAGAGAAAGAGGCGGAAGGAAGCTCCTCCTGCACCGGCTTTCTGGACTGCAGGGTGGGAGCACCCACATCTCTCAGGGCCCGAGGAAGGGGCTGGAGGGACGCCCCCTCCTCCCAGAGCCTGGAAGGCCAAGGCAGACCAGGAGTCATGGCAGGACCACAGTCACGGGCAGGGCCATGAAGTGGCACAGGCCTGTAATCGCGTCACCCAGCAGGGGTTCCAGGAGGTTCCCGAGGTGGAAGAAGGAAGCCTGAGTCACTCCGTCACAGCAAAGGAATTTCCGGACATAAAGCGGCTTACTGGGGAGAATTCCTCAGTCCGCAGACGGGACAGTCAGGCCGCCTGTAGTTCCGCGGGTGTTTGTAGGAGACTCGGGGTGGAAATCCGCACACCCTATCCCTCTACAGGGACTCCGGTAAGGGGTGAAGGCGGGGTTCCCTCCCCAGCGGGAAGGGCGTAGGCCGGATCTCGGGACAGCCTGGAGTCCTGGTAAGGGGAAGCCGCCCGCCCCGGGGGGCTGCCTATTCCCTGGGGAAGGGCCAATGCGCAGGCAAAGGCAGGCCGGGGTTTAATGAGTCTCCCAGAATTTTAGTAATTTTTTTAAGGGCTTTGTATCGCAAAGCGCAGTTTTTATTAAAAGTCCAATTTTTTTTTTTTTTTTTTTTGGTTCCGGGGATCGAACTCACGACCTTGAGCTTGCCAGGCAGGCGCTTACACCACTGAGCTAAACCCCAGGCCTTAAAAGTCCAATTTTTAAATTACAAGTTGTCTATCTATACTACTTCTATCTCACCTCCATTTCTGCACTAAGGAGGCCGAAGCAGGAGGATCGCGAGATCGTCGCCAGCCTGGGCTACACGGCAAGCTCTCGCCCAGCTGACTACGTGGCCAACCAGCTCAAAACACAAAAGCCTCCGCAGTTCCCGCGGCGTCCTTGCGCTGCAGGCCGCCCTGCGTGGCCACTGGGGCGCGCCCGCGGGCCAGGACTCCCCTCCTGCCCATATGCGCATGAGCGAAATCGGCGGCGCGCACAGGCTTCCGGTCGGGCTCCGCGTGGACTGTCGCGGCGCAGTGGTCTAGTGGCCGGCAGATGGCGCACCGGGCAACCGCGGCCCTGCGCGTGGGCGAACAGAGTTATGAGGCACGCGCCAGCGAAAGCACAGCCCCGACTAAGCAATGTGGCTAGGCTAGCCTCGCGAAGGAGCGTGCGACAGGCAGGACTCGCCCTGCGCACCGCGCGCCGGAAAGTAAAAATGGCTGCGTGCGGCTTCATCGCCCGCGGGAGGCTTTCACAAAGCTGCGGTTTAACGGGCGTCACCTCTGTTGCGCGCTTCCGGGAAGCGCGTGAGCACTTCCGGGTCGAGCCACTTCCGGGCAGAGCACTTCCGGATGGAGGAGCGAGCGCCGAGCCCAGCCACGCCCAGGCCTGCGTCCGCCCCCATCTGCCAGGAAAGAAAGGGTTTATTGTTGGAAATGATGTTAAAGATACGTGGATTAGGATAGCATGAGTTAGCGGATCATTCTCGAAAATTCGGGGGTGCGGACGGCACTGGGTGTGTGCTGATAAAGGACTCCGTCTGTGATTTACCGCAGACTTTGGGATTCTGCGATTCCCACAACTTTTTTTTAAAAAAAAAAGATTAAAACATTTTATATCTCAACCTCTGCGTGGGATCCGACTTTCAGAGGCTCACTTTTGTTTCTTTTTGAGGCAGTTCAGGCTGGCCTTTTGCTCACTGTGGAGCCCCGGGCTGGTCTCAGACTCCCGCCGAGATTACATTTTTTTGTTTTTGTTTTTGTTTTTTAATCGGTACCAGGAATCGAACTCACGACTGCCTGCTTGCAAGGCAGGCACTTAGCCCCTGAGCTAAATCCCCAGCCCCCTGATTACATTATTTTTAAGCCACACAATTTAAATCCCTAGTGAATGACAGGCAACCCCTGCTCTGCATGGCCGTGACCGGAATTCCAGGCCACCACAGGGCTCTGATTCCAGGTGACCACGACAGAGCCCAGGCTCAGCTGCAAGCCCTCTTGTCCGGAACTGCAGCACCCACAACAGCTGTGCTGCAGGACCGGCGCCCACACACTGCTCGGACAGCCTGTCCCTGCCTGGTCACTGTCACCTGTCCTGTCACAGCGTGTAGGAAACGCGTGTTGTACATCCTGGTTGCCCATGGTCTGCTGCTGTGGTTGCGAACACCGACGCCTCCATCTGAACCTCTGCAGAGCCCTGGATTCAGTCCCCTGTACGGAAAGGAAAAAAATCCAGTGTCCCCAAAAACTGAGCTCTCCCCTACTGTCGGTAGTTACTAAACAAAATCTGTTTTTGACGTCATCAAACAAAGGAACCACAGTTAGGGATGGGGAACAGGCAAAATCCTGGCCCTACCCTGCTACTCATAAGAGCATGATTTGTGTTTTCTTCTGGGACAGGCAGAACTTAAAAGCCATTTTTGCTATGAGCCAAGACTCTTCACTTGGGCCTACAGATGCCCACAAATAACTAAAGGCAGGCTGAAGTGCCACCATTTTGTTGCCTTTGTTACCTTGAAACTTTGGACCAAGTTCCTTCTCAACTCTGCAGATAGACATTTTTAACTGTTTATGGAGAGTCTGTGCAAAAGTTGGCAAACTAAGGTCTGTTGGCCTTGAATTTACATAATCTCACTCCCCCAAAGATGGGCAATTTCCAGGGACACTCACCATTGCCCAGAACTCTGCTGTGAGCCTGAGACCACAGAGATAAACCTTTCCTGCAAAAATCACAGCTCAGCCAAAGAGAACTCCAGAACACTAGAACACCATGACTGAGATAATGCTGCCCACCAGAAAAGTTCGTAACCAAGCAAATCTAGTATCTCTGTGACTAAGATTTTTTTCTGAGACAGGGTCCATTACATAGTGCAGGCTGGCCTTGAATTCACTATGTAATGTAGCCCAGGCTGGCCTCTAACAGACTGATCCTCCTGCCCCAGCCTCCCAAGTGCTAGGATGACAGGTGTGCACCACCATGTCTTGTTCTAAAACTTTTATCAATACAATTCAAAAATCAAAAGTGAAGGGCCTGGGATTTAGCTCAGCAGCATAAGCACCTGCCTTGCAAGCATGGGTACATGAGTTTGATCCCTGGTACCAAAAAACAAAACAAAAAACCAAAAGTGGTGGTGTTAGGAGTGTGTATAGTTCAGTGGTAAAGCACGTTTAGTTTGCTCAGTGACTTGAGTTCAGTACCCTGCACCAGAGAACACTAGGGTATGGGCAAGGGGATTGTTTTGTTTTTTCTCTTTGAGACAGGGTTTCACTATCCAGTTCAGACTGGCCTTGAACTCACTTTGTAGCCCAGGCTGGCCACCAACTCACAGAAGCTCCTGCCTCAGCCTCCCACACCTTGCTGACTTTTATAAAAAATAATTGAAGACCAAGAAAACTGGGGGTGGGGGGTGAACTACAGGTCGATACTTGAAATATTACAGCAAATGATCTACACACAAAAAATGTGCAAAGTAGCGGGACATGGTGGTACACACCTGTAATACCACCAGAGGCTGAGGCAGAAGAATCCTTGCAAGACCAGCCCGGGCTACAAAGTGAGCTCAAGGCCACAGCGAGACCCTGTTTCAAAAAGACCAAAAAAAAAAAAAAGCACCATCAATCACAATCACTTGCCTGTATAACAAACTAAGTCTCATGTGGCATTACATATCATGGTATGACTTTAATGAAAAAGCATGTTTTGTTCCTGTTTTTTGTTAAATCACTCAATTGTTCAGGCTGAGCTTTAACTTTTGATCCTCCTGCTTCAGCCTCCGAAGTAGCTGAGAGTACAGGTGTGTACCACTTCACCCAGCAAAGGGTGACCTAAAGACAAATCCAGAGATACCAACCAGGGTGTGCTAAGTGTAGGAACCATGGATAGCTCGATGTTTGACCCCCCATCAGGACAGGAAGGGTAGGGCAGGATCTGAGCAGCCAGTCCAGATGGTTCCATCCCTATGCAGCCGTACAAGGCCCGAGTGACAGTGGACCCTGGGTAGTGATGGTCAGGAATCCATGAGTCCATTCTACAGATGGGCTCTGAATGACCCCGGATGGAATAACACCACGGTTTCAGGTGCGCTTCAGTTTGCACATAAATACGCAGTAGGTCTACCCTTGTTTCTTTTTTTTTGGTATTGGGGATTGAACTCACAACCTCAACTTGGCAGGTGCTTATGCCAATGAGCTAAATCCCTAGCCCCCAGGGCTACCCTCTTCTATGGAAATGGTGTGCACTCAGGAATCACCTGGCCCTACTTTTTTGTTTGGTTTATGAGAGGAGGTCTCACTCTAATTTAGGCTGGCCTCAGAATTCACTAGAGAGTCCATGCTGCGCTCAAACCCCTGGTGATCCTCCTGCCTCAGCCTCCTGAGTGCTGGAATTACAGGGGTGTGCCAGCACTCCTCGTCAGCTGGCCCTACTTGTGTAATTTTAACTCTGACCCTTCCCACTGGTCTGTGGATCCTTTTATTGGTATTGTGCCACCTGTTTTAACTTTGTAATGAGCCTTAATGCCTTGCTTCCCAAAGTCTTTCTGGGTACTCAGTCCTTTTACCCTTTTTCAGCGCCTCCTCTCTCCGTTCATCATCTCCATTGTTTTAAAGTCCAATTTGTCCCGTGTTGTCGTATCAGATTTCTTGTTACATCTCTTTTCATTCCCTCGCCTTTGAGCTACCTGCCCTACAATCACGTGACTTTATCTTAACCAGGGCATCCTAGCTGGGTCACAGGTTTTAGCCATTTTGGCAAGCTGTCACTAGTTGACCTATATGGGTTAATACCAGCCCCCAGACAGCTGTGCCCCCAGAAAGGTCTGCTAATAAGTGGGTCCCTGTGGCCTTTGGGAACTAGGGACCAAGGGACA